TCTGTTTTATTTCTTTGATGGGCAGGCTGCATCCTTTGGATTCCAGGTACTTGGTGGCCTTTTCCCCTCTCTGGGATTTAGATCCCTCCTGGGGAAGGGCAGCAAAGACTAGAGGTAGGGTCGTGGGACACTTGAGTAGGAATTCTCATCACCTGACAACAAAATGGAAGCCTCTAGAAAATGCCTTGGCTTCATGATTGTGATTTTATGATGGTCACTGTGGGAAAGGGTCAAGTTTTTTTCAGTAGAGCTGCAGGTGTCCAGAGCAGGCAGAGTGAAGCCAAGCTGATGAGAGAGGGTGGAATGACCAGGGATACCCCAGGGCTGGGCTGGGCTTCTCTGCATGGCTTCTGTGTGGCCTGGGATGCTCATTTAGACTTTCTGATGCTCAACACTCACTGTGCAAAGAAGTAGGGCGACAATCCTTTCTTAAGTTCACTCTCAGAATTCTTGTCTTCAGACAAAAACAAAGATGGCTGTCATTCTAAAGCAATGGTCCTGGCAGGGGATTATTTTGTCCACTTTAACCCCACCCTGCTAAAGGCACAATTGGTAACAACTGGAAATAGTTTTGGTTGTCACAACTGGAGGAAATGGGAAGATGGTCCTGGCTTCTAGTGAGCAGAGGCCAGGGAGGCTGCTTAGATGCTCTCCAATAAACTGTCTGGTCCTACAGTAAAGAAGTCCTCAATGTGAAGGTTGACGGAGTCAAGCTAGATAAAGTGTACCCTAGAGTAAAACACGATGTGTGACTTAGACAGAGACGGCTAGCTGCCACCAGTGCCTGGGGCATGATTTGGCTTGGAAGTGATCTGAGAAGGAAAGGTCTCAGAACCCCTGCAGAATCTTCTCTGGAGTTGGGGTTCAAAGAACTATACCCCCAGCCATCATTGGGCAGTACCAACATTAGCAGCCTCTGAACAAATTCATGACTCCCCCACACCATGAGTCCCCAAGCTTCCTTGCTGAGACCCCCTCCCACGCTCCTCTGGGTCCCCACACCTGCCATGTTCAGTGTCTTTGCCTCTGTCTTGAATTCTGTATCCTTATCAGTCCAGGGTGGGGAAGCAGTTGTGACGAATCTCTAGAAGATCAAGCCATCGACATGTCATGTGTCTTGTCCCCAGCTGCCCCCAGAGCTGGCTGCAAGCAGAGCAGGATCTGGCTGCGGGTGATGATATCATTCCATGTCCTCAACCAGAGACACCGAGATAATAACTTTCCAAATATTGTCTTACGAGATCTTTATCACTGTAAAGCAATATTTCGTCACCAAGCGGTGAGCGAGCAGCAGTATCATCTTGCAGATACACGAGGCTGGGGAGGGAGTTGAGGTCACCCTGCAGCTCGGAGGTCTGGAGGAGGTGACACATGGGCCGAGACGGTGGGCTTCAAAAGTCAGAGGGACCGGGTGCACCTTGCCAGGGGTCCATTTTCAGGATGAAGATGGTTGTGCCAAATCAGAAGTAAAACTGATTCAATCTTCTATCACTGACAGGGCTTGCTGAGTAGCTCAGGCTGGCCTTGACGCCACTATGCAGCCCTGGTGAAGTTTCTCTTGCTTAACCTACGAAGTGCTGAGCTTATAGACCAATGTCACCAGGCCTGGCTTAGAGTTTGCTTTTAATATTGGGCGAGTGGGGAATATAATTGTCAGACACCACCCCTACTCCTGAAGATCTGAGACAAGAAGGCAAGCCGGGAGAAGCTGGTATAGACCAAGGCTAGAATAAGCCAGCAAAGGGTCTTGTCGCATCATAGGGGGGCATTGGCTTAGCAACAGTCCCCCAGTGGAGAGAGCCATGGAGAGAGCTATGCTCAGCCTGGTACATACACTTGTTAGATAGCCGGAACACACCTTCCTCTGCCTTTCTGTTTACTCTCGGTAACGGAGAGGGATCCCGACAGTGGCAGGCTCCTCTTCTGTGTGTTCAGAATGATGAGCCTGACGTAGAAGGAAATCTTCCCTGGAGAACTGAAGGGTCAGGCCCAGGCCTCCCACTTACAGTATGGTCAAGGAGCTGCAAGCATCCCTGATGCCCTGCTCCTCAGTCGGAACTCCTTGAAAAACCACCAGTTTCTGTGAGACCCTTTCTAAGGGAGCCCCAACGGGAAAAGGTGAATGAACATGGAAGGGGGAGCAGGGGTCCTGAATGCATGCTGTTTTATTTTATTTAGGTTAAAGGGAGGATCGTCTGGTGGTAGTGTGGGGCTGCGCTGACATGTGAGTCAAGTCCTCCTTGCTCACAGATTCAGCAGCAGGTTATGGCAAAGGCATCATTGTTCAGCAGGCTCTGTCCAAACTCAACTCTGCCATTTCCTAGCAGCAGCTAAGCAATCTTGGGCAAAGGCTTCAACTTCTCTGTCTTCATTTCTCTGACCTCGGAAATGGTGCATAAATAAGGCTATAGCAGGATTAGGTCTACACCTAGAGCTCCTGACCTGGGATGAAGCCATCGTGACTGTTAGGTTTTGTTCCTATCACAAACGCATTGTGAGGGTTGTATGGGACAACATACAGAGTTCCTGGTATTTGGGGGTGGGATGGTTTGAATGGAATGCCTCCCATAGTCTCCAGCATTTGCCTACTTGGTTCCCTGGCGATGAAGCTGTTTGGTTCTTTGGATAGGTTTCGGGCTTATGGCTTTGTTGGAGGAAGCATGCCACCGGGGGCTTCCCTCCACTCCCAGTTCACGCTCTCTGCTTCCTGCTTATGACTCAAGATGTAAGCTCTCAACTTGCTGTTAAAGCTGACACACCAGCTCCCACGACCTCTGCTCCACCATCATGGACTCTAACGCTCTGGAACCACAAGCCCCGATTACCTTCTTGTATAAGTTGCCTCTACCATGGCGTTTTTATCACATCTGTTAGAAAGTAGCTGATACGGAGGGAGAATCACTGCAGGTGCCGGGGTGTGGACAGTCGAAGCCCACTGAGTGTGGGAGCTTGCATTTTAGTGTAAAAGATGACTTTTGAGTGCACTTTAAAGATAGAGTTTTGATAGTGACCATGGGAAGTAAAAAGAAGGAAGTGGACGAGGACAGGCCTGTGATAGCTGAGGCAGGAAGGGGCCTCTAACTGGCATTATTGTTGACCTGGAGGAGAGGAGCAAGGCTGGTCCTGAAGAAGACTGGGGAAAACTGTCCTAGGCAGGAGCCCAGTGATCAGGAAGGAATGCTTTATCCAGAGCAGGTGTCCCCAGAAAGGGACGGTGACAGGGCTATGCTCAGATGAGCAGGAAAGGGTCCTGGGGGTCTGATGAACCATGAAGAGGGCTTCTGAGTGATTCTGATTCACCTGTGTCCTAAAGATGGGGAAAAGGTGCCATAAACTGGGTGTTTTGAAAGACCAGCAAGTCACTGCCTCGGCCTTAGAGTCTAGAAGGCTCATTTCAATGGGTCAGCTGTCCACACTGTGACGTCACTTCCTGGGAGGATCCCCAAGCCTTGGTCTGTGGCTGGGTTCCTCCAGTCTCTGCCTTTGCAGCTACACAGTGTCTCTCAGTGGGGTTAAGCGGTCTATGAGCAGCCACCACATCTGGTTAAGGCCCCACCCTACCTCAGTGTGACCTCATCCTAGCTCCTTACATCTAAAATGACCCCATTTCCAAATAAGGTCATAGCGTGGGTGGCCGGGGGTAGAACTTCCACACATATTTTGCAAAGAAACAATTCAAGTCATTACAGTGAGCCTCACAGAAAGTCAGGAAGAGAACTGAATATGACCGTGTGACATCATTTGATTTATATTGTAAAAATATTCCACCTGCTGGGGTATAAGACTCCGGAAGCCTGAAGTGGAAGCTGGAACCCCCCAAGGAGCTGTCATAGAGGCAGGATATACTGTAGCCGCTGCGTAGGCAGGGGAACAAGGTGGTGGCTACATCCTTGATGCAGTATGGAGGATGGGTGAAATACACTGGTAAACTGATTTCCTTGTGAAGGTAACACAGAATTGTTAGTGGGACTTCATTGGTTTTTGTTTTGTTTTGTTTTAACCCTAAATATCTGGTGGAATCGTTTGCCGATTTACTGACACAGTGGCCAAAGGAACTAAGGCGGGTTCACGGTAGGCTAGGGAACAGTGGCCCCAGAGTTTTCTCCAAAGTCAAGTGCGGTAGCACAAACTTATTATCCCAGCACTCAGGAGGTGGAGGTAGGGGATTAGTTTGGGTCTGAAGCATTACTGGATACATAGTGAATATCAAGTCAGCCAAGGCACATAGTGTGACCATCTCAAAACACAAACCTAAAACAAAGCCCCATGGGCAACCACTGAGCTGACTTTTAGATCTCCAAGTGGAGTACCACATGTAGGAAGAGCCGTCACACTCAACACATCCAAACCCAGCCCCTGCTTCCAGTCTCAAGCCTGACTCCTCCTGTGTCCACATTTTAGTTAACAGTCCTGCCGCCTGCATGAGTCCCAAGCAGGAATTCTTGGAACAGGTCCAGCCTGTAACACGTTGCCAAGTCTTTGGGATCTTGCCTGTGGAGGGGTACCTCACACCTCCCCCTAGGCCTCTGTGACCCTGCTCTCATCCCAGGACTTTGCTTCTGCCCTGGTGATCATTTTGATTTTCTTAAGTTCCCTGTTCCCAGCCTGTCCTCTGCTGCACATCACCCCACAACCACTGAGTGGCTACTGAGGACAGAGGGACATCAACTGCAGTGATGTGGAGTAGCCAGGCTTCCCAGGAAGCTGAGCAGTGATGATCACATCTCTAGGAAGCTGGGCAGTGATGATCATATCTCTAGGAAGCTGGGCAGTGATGATCACATCTGTAGGAAGCTGGGCAGTGGAGATCACATCTCTAGGAAGTTGGGCAGTGGGGATCACATCTCTAGGAAGCTGGGCAGTGATGATCGCATCTCTAAGAAGCTGGGCAGTGGAAATCACATCTGTAGGAAGCTGGGCAGTGGTGATCACATCTGTAGGAAGCTGGGCAGTGGGGATCACATCTGTAGGAAGCTGGGCAGTGATGATCACATCTGTAGGAAGCTGGGCAGTGATGATCACATCTGTAGGAAGCTGGGCAGTGGGGATGGCATCTCTAGGAAGCTGGGCAGTGATAGTGCCTGCTGGATGAATTCTTCATCTTGAAAGGCCAAGGCTGAAGACTCAAGTGCTGACTCTGAGCCTTTTTGACTGAGTTGAGTCACGCGTCTCTAAGATGTTTTGTCCCAGCTAGAAGAGACAAGCTTTATAATAGAAATGGCACTGCAAATAGGTACACATGACTTTACTGTGTGTTGGTCTCAGTCTAAGATCCCTAGAGGTTAGCTCGCAATATCCTCCTAGCCTCAGCTTCCCCAGTGCTAGAGAACAATTATGTCTAAGCAAGAGAGTTACATAAGGATAAAATGACATCATTTGGTGCCAAGCCAGGGGGCTGAACACCTGATGGAGAGGGATCTCCACTGACTGCAGCCAAACAAATGCTTGAGAATTAATATCCATCACTGCCTGATAATCCTTGGCTGGAAGAAGAGCAGTTTTGAGGTACTACAGTCATTTAAATTCCTCAGTTATTAATTTTATACAGAGTTATTTTGCTGTGGGTTTTTTTTTTGGTAATTAGATGCTGTAAATTTTTTGTGATTTTTCTCTTCTTTGTAATTAGAAATAGCGATTAGAGTATCTTTTATATTACATGGCATTTTTTTTCTTTAAACAATTGTATACATTTTGTATTCTTTCCTTTTCTCCACACAGACTTTAATGAGAATGGGTTCATTGTGTACCATAATTTGCTATTATTATAGTGTGTCATGAAAATGAGTTATTTCCGTCACAGAAATATAATGCCCAGTGTAATGTATTTTTTGCTACTGGGTTTTTTTTTTTCTCTCTCTCTAGGGACAGGGAAATATGTTTGCCAAATCTGAAGCCCACTTGAACCTGAAAGGCTGGATTACCCAGCCCAGGCCTCTGGAGTCTGAAATAGCCTCCTGTTGTTCTGTGCTGCATGGCACACACTCCAGGCAGTGGAGAGGTAAGTTCCATGTCTCTCTGTTGGGATGCATAATTTCAGTGGTGTGTTCTCAGCAAATGGCATCCATTCAAACCAGGAGAAGTAAACCAGACTTTAAGTCTGCTTAAAGTCTGCTTAAGTGTGCTTTAAGAAGAGCACACTGACTCTTCTTAAAATTTGGAGCTGGGAGCACGGGTCTGTGGTGGAGCAGTTGTGTAAGTGGGAGCTCGGCTCTGTGGTGGAACAGTTGTGTAAGTGGGAGCACAGTTCTGTGGTGGAGCAGTTGTGTAAGTGGGAGCTCGGTTCTGTGGTGGAGCACTGGTGTAAGGGGGAGCACAGCTCTGTGGTGGAGCACTTGTGTAAGTGGGAGCTCAGTTCTGTGGTGGAGCACTGGTGTAAGGGGGAACATGGCTCTGTGGTGGAGCACTTGTGTGTGTAAGGGGGAGTACAGGTTTATGGTGGAGCCCTTGTGTAAGTACGCACAAGGCTGTGAGTTCAGTTTCCAGCACAAAAAAAATAGCAAATAAAAGTGAAGAGCCTGGGCCAGGGCTGAGGGCTAGTAAGGAAATCTGCCTTGTCCCTGCTGCTGAGGGTGCTTCACTCATGCAGAAGACAGCATGAGGCACAGGCTGGCTTACTCATGGAACATGCTTAGGGCTGCCAGCCAGGGTAGACACCCTATCAACTCCAGCCTGCCAACTCACATAACAGCTAAGGCAAGGAAAGGGATAGACAGACACCCCCCAACACACATGGCTGCCCAGTGGCTGGGTTCTTCTCTGTTCTCTCACCCACCAGTTGAGGCATCCTCCACAAGAGGTTGTTCCTGGGGTAGAGACGAAATATGAGCATGCCCAGTGCAAAGCAAGCGAGGCCACTGAGGGCTCTCTTTGCTGCAACATCTCATGACTCTGGTTAGGAGGAAGAGAAGCGAGCGGTATGTGCTTCCCCATGATCCCTGCTGTTGAATTTAGATGGCTATTGGAGAGCCTGTTATATCTGTCCCCACACAGATGTCCCACTGGATGCTCTGAGATGCATTCCAGTCTCCAGCATGTTGGTGAGGGATTTGGATCTGCAGGGACCCGCTGGAGGGGTCAGGCCCTGGGTCTAGCCCATGAAGCTGACCCTCTTCCCACAGCAGACAGAAGCAAGGGCCCTGGGACGCTAGCTGGGGGAGGTCCTCCTCTCCTGGGATGCTAGCTGAGGGAAGTCCTCCTCTGGCCCTGGGATGCTAGCTGGGGGAGGTCCTCCTCTGGCCCTGGGACGCTAGCTGAGGGAGGTCCTCCTCTGGCCCTGGGATGCTTGCTGCGGGAGGTCCTCCTCTGGCCCTGGGATGCTAGCTAAGGGAGGTCCTCCTCTGGCCCTGGGATGCTTGCTGGGGGAGGTCCTCC